ATAAGTATGTTTTTGCACACTTATTAGATACTTTAACAAGCTAATTATTGATTAAAATGAGTGAATTTCTACTCACAATTATATAATGATTGTTTTGTAGATAAAAAAAACCCAAGAAAATATAACAATGCAAAAATGAGGAGAAAATGGCAAAAATCGTGAATTTGGGTCCAAAGCAAACAAGTCAAAAAGTTCAAGGACTCGGGGTTGCATTTTTTTCAGGACATGATTGATATGAAAGTCAAAATTCGAGTATCAAATTATACCAGATAAAAGTTAAGGGACCTAACATGCAATTATCTGAGGGACTTAGCAACCAATTGATGATTTTTGGCAGAAATGCAGTGCCTATGCGTCACCTCACAGCGCCTAGTTCAAAACTTAGGGACCATTTTAAATGCTATTTCAAATTTCGGGGACTTAGGCTGCAAATTCATGCTGGGCTCCTTTTTCCTTCAATTTTTTTTTTTATTATTTCTTTTCATTTTTTCTCTTTCTTTCTTTCTTTCTTTTCTTTTTGTTTCTTTTTCTTTTTGAATTTCCTTTGTATTTTGGGGGAAAACCTTGAGCACAAGGAAAAGCAATAAAAGAAGTTGGAGAAATATTTGGAGAAAGTCAAGACCAATCCATACATTGCTTCAAAAATCAACTAAAAGGGGTTTTTCTTTCATCTTTTATTCAATTTATTATTTTCTCCAAATTTGTATTGAATGTTATGAATCTTGTTCCTTGTTATCATATATATAATATGAGCTAATTTCTCGTGTTAAGATTTATGGTAATATTTGATCTTTAACGTTAAAATTACTTAAGGTCCGTTTGATTGCAAGAGTGAAAAATTGGTAGAAAGAAAATGAATTCCAGGGAAAGTAATTGCCTAGAAATTGTTTTCCAAAAAAAATTGTTAATTGAGTGTGTTTGATTGATATAATTTTCCACCCGGAAAATTTTTAAAATTTTGTGTTCGTTTAACTTTGTTTTACATGAAAATTGTCCATAAAAGTGATAATTTTTTGCACAATTGGTTATAAAATTTGTTTCTGTTGCCAAAAAGTATAACATTAAAAAAAATAAAAATTTTTTCCATAAAAAATC